GTAAGATAGTGTAAAGAGCGCTATAAGGTAGTTATCTAGCGATATAGTAGAGTAGGCGTGCTTATAAGATAGATAATAATAAACTTAATAATTTCTAATCTATATTAAATAGACTACTAAGTATTAATCTTATAAAGTTAAGTAACTAGTAAGAAAGTATAATTTAAGTTAACTATAATAATAGTAAATAATATTATCTATCTATTCTTATATCCTTATTACTTCTAGTTCTACTATTAGAACTTTAATCTACTATTACTAATAGTTATCTCTACTTCTAATAGTTGCTATTATATATAGATCCTACTATTACTAATAGCACTATCTTAGTGTGATGGCTAATTACGTGACTTGGCCCCGCTATATCTATTATTTCCTGCTAGTATTCTAAGTGGCTTTCTAACCACTATACCATCAGCATAAGGAAGGAGATCCTTTCCGTTGTTACTTGTAACACCTTTACCCATATTTTGTTCTTCATTAACTATCCACGTAGCAAACAGGACGATTAAGTAGTGGATTAGGAGTAACTAGTAGAGTAGTGGCGTTATGCGGCGAACCTAATCTTGGTATAAACTCTAGATCTCAATTACGTAAAATCTTAGGTAGTAAAACACGGCTAAAAGTGGGGTAAATAGCGACACATGGCCCCAACGCACGGCCTAGAATTCTGCCGATATCCACAGGATAATGAACATTCTATGTTTATTAGCGTAGGGTTACTAGGGATTAGGTAGCCAAAAAAAGATTTCATATTTTCTAAAGGTTTTGCTAACGATTATCCCAATGCTACTTTTTATTTCAGCACGGGTTGGGATCCGAACCACGCTTCATAATGGCTAAGTAGAGATCAAGAGCCCTTGAAGACTTCCAGATTGGCACCACTTTTCGATGCGCTCTATATAGTCCTGGCTGCCGAATCCCCATGGCGCAGCTCGTGCAAGCTTTTGTTGACTTAATGGGTCTGTGATTTTCTTCGCATAGTTATTGAAATATCCTGGAGTGCATGGTGAAAGGGCAGCAAACCAGTTCGACATGCTAGCACTTTCGTTCGCCCATTCTTCTTCTGCATCGCGCGATGGCTCAATTGCGAACGTGTTTGTTTTTGTTGCTTTGCGTGCTGACTGTATGTAGTATGCTACCGTTCTTGCATGATTATCCAATACGTAAGCTAAATTGCCTGTCGTTGTTTAGAATCCTGTAATAATGCAAAAGCATTAAACTTACAAGCAGCTCCAGTCTGACTCATTCCATTAAAGAAAAGATTCGGAAAATCGTGTGTGCAACATCCGTGGAGAGTTGTTGGCCCATTTGCATCCCATTTATCGTTTAGATTGAGCCCATGTCGCCCAAATACTTCTATGTTGCAATCACGTGACGGTGTTTTCACCCCATCTCTAGACGTGGTTCGAAAACCAGTGCTGATTACAAGCAAATCAACTTCATGCTCGACACCATTGACAATTACTCCACGTTCTGTAATTTTCTCCACACCAAATCCTGATGTCTCAATCAGCTCGACATTCGGTCGATTAAAGGATTGCAGGTACTCGTCGTGAAATGTTGGCCGTTTACAATAAGTTGGATACCATGATTTTAGTTTCTCTGCCGTTTTTTTATCATGGACAACGTTATCGACACGTTCTCTTAGTCTTTGTGCTCTCGGAAAATCAATAGCATCAAGCTCAGCAATATGAGTTTTGACGTCTTCTGGTTGGATTTTTCCTTTGCGAGCCGATCCTATCAATGCACTAAAACTTGGCATTTGGCACCAACCATCTTGAACTAGATCGACTTGAAGCGGCTCCCCTCTTACAAAGTGATTAAAGTTATGTATTCTTTCTCTTTGCCACCCTTTCTGCGCTGTAATCTGTTTCCATTCGTCTGGATCAGTCGGTCGCTGACCACGAACATCGCACGATGTCGGCGTGCGCTGGAATACTAGGAGATGCTTGGACCACTTCGCAAGTTCTGGCACCCCTTCTGTGCTGTAATTTGTTTCCATTCGTCTGGGTCAGTCTTCCGCTGACCACGAACATCGCACGATGTCGGCGTGCGCTGGAATACTAGGAGATGCTTGGACCACTTCGCAAGTTCTGGCACTATTTGAATAGCTGTAGGCCCTGTCCCAATAATCCCAACTCTTTTTTCTTTCAGTTTCTCCATTCTCTGCTCTGTTGGTGTACCGCCTGTAAGGTCATACCTCCATCTAGCGGAGTGAAATAGTGGGATTTTGGTAGTAGTTAAGCCTTGTACATTTGGTACATGCGGCACGTTTAGGATACCACCCGTAGTGATGACGAATCGAGACTTTACGCTTAGTGTTTGACCTGGTTTCGTTGGGCCTCTGTTCTCATAAATCTGAACCATCCAATGGCGTGCCTGATCATCCCATCTCATCTCAGTCACATGCGATCGAAACAATGCTTTGTTCTCTAGATTAAAGTGACTCGCTATCCGGTTGGCGTGTTGCAATAGCTCTGGACCATAGGCATACCTATGCTTTGGCATATACCCTGTCTCCTCGAGGAGTGGCATGTACATGTAGCTTTCTACATCGCACATAAGCCCAGGATATCTGTTCCAATACCAAGTTCCTCCAAATCCACCTGCATTGTCTACGATCCGAATGCCTTCAGGCAAGATCCCAGCCTGAATTAGTCGTGCAGCAAACAGAAGACCGCCATATCCTGCTCCTAGGATAAGGACCTCGTAAAAACCACCGTCACGAACAGGAGAATTAGAATTGTTAAGTGTCTCATGATTAACCCAAATGTCCTTGTTCAGGTCAGACAGGGTTTCCGCTGTGTTCAGATCAAGAAATTGAGCCTCTGCGTCAGGCCTGATCCTTTTTTCGCGTTCAACCTCGTAACGCTTTTGTATGGTGGGATCGGGTGTAATTGGGGATTGCATTGTTTCGCCTGTTATAACAATGTATGGTTGAATGTATGAATTGTTGAATAGGTAGTTGTCCTGGAAATATTGATGATGAATGTCTGGAAAATGAGACCAAGAGTGTTATTTATAGACTTAAAAGGATCGACTTACGATTCTTTGCCTCGGCTCGGCTCGGATACAACTAGATTCCGGTTGTTGTCTTGAGCCAACGTAACCCACATCGGCAAAACTAGTGCTAGGTATCCCTAACCCTAATAAAACATTTTTTTACAAAGGCAAGATCGGCATCGGAACGGAAGCATAGTATTCCGTAGCTAGAGATAACACTGCCACGATGCAAACCTTATATGCATCAGCTATCATACCTAAACGAAAAAATAACTCGCATTATTTTTCCGTTACACTATGGCACCAGCTAACAAGGGGATTCTTCCTTTGCTCCTTGCCAACGGCTTTTTGAATTCTACATTACCATCTATACCAGAGTTCGATCAACTGCCATCCTGTACAGGCTTACCGCAAGGATGCGCATGGGGGGTTTTTGACGATTCTGAGGCGAAAGACGTATACGGCACTCTGAATTTACTAACAAAAGATATCATACTCAGCGCAAAACAGGAGATTACTGAAGGCATCTCTATCTCTCTAAGGTCAGTAGGTTTTACGTGTTTGTAGATATAATTTAATACTTGTGTAGCTGGAAATTAGATGGATTCTTAGGCTCCCCAACAAAGCGAAAGAAACTGAACAACACGCTCATAAATTTAGCAGACTCCGGTCTTGGCTCATTTGGCTGGGATGAGGAAATAAGCTTTAACACTCAGATCAGTAGCCACTGGGATAGCTATTGTCATTATCCACATCAGGTAACTGGTCTCGCATATAATGGCGCTCTATGTACACGGGAGCAGCTTGCGGGTAGTGCAGTTAGTTCTATAGGACCTCCGACTCTCGACCAATGGCAATTGAGAGGGGGGGTTGTTGGCCGTGGAGTTCTGCTTGACTATGTCAGATTTGTGGAGTCTAAAGGCATTCGAATATCGCCATTCGAGCACCACAGTATCACACCACAACTACTTGAAGAGGTTGCGCACTCTCAAGGCACAGAATTCCATGCTGGAGATATCCTTGTCGTAAGGACAGGATTTGTTGACGCACTCTCCAAACTGAACAAAGAGGAGCAACTCAATGCCACAAGGACTGGGGAAAGTATAGGGCTAGAACCCAGTCGTGAAATGGCTCGTTGGATCTGGAATCATCAATTCGCCGCAGTTGCTAGTGACAACCTAGCTGTTGAGGCGCTGACTGCACATAATTCTTCTAGTAACCTAGAATTCCCAACCTTACGTAAGTGTTGCCTTTATAGTCAAATATCTGTCCTTTTACTAACAGCATTTATCAATAAGCCCTCCATCATTGGTTTCTAACTATGTTTGGCATGCCCATTGGAGAGCTCTGGCAACTCGACAAGCTGTCAGAACATTGCCACAGATCCGGAAAATACACCTTCTTCTTGACCTCAATTCCTCTCAATGTTCCTCATATGGTTGCCGGCCCTCCAAACGCATTGGCTATTCTCTAGATAGTATATTTCAAATAAATACAGAGTGCTTGTAGTTAGCTAGAGCAGAGCTTCAATATTGTTTTCAGGCTTTTTTCTCGGAAACACACAAATAGCTGATACGAACTTCTATCACTAACGTCCGTTCCCATATAACGGAAGCTATCCGCCGGCATTCTATATGATAACAAGTGTTACAAGTAACAAGAAGGATTCTCTCCTTAACAAATAACGAGATGGCTGAAGGCCTATGGACGTCCACGTCAGAAGGTAATAATCATCGCGGGGCGAAGATCATGTGGCTGGCATCTCGCCAAGACGTGACATCTCACCAAGAGGACAGATACCACAACACCTAGAGATGTTAGGACATCTAAAGCATCTCCTAATACTAGGGTAATTAATAGATACTATAGATATTAGGACTAGAAGTAATAAGGATATAAGGATAGGTAGATTTTATTCTTATTCTTATTATAACGTAGTTCACAAGCGAGCGAGCGTATCCTCACTAGCGCGTCAACGTCAACACGTTATTATAGTCTTTTATCACAGTTAATAAACTATTACGATATACTAAATTAACTATTAGAGTTACTACTATTACTTATACTATCTATCTTAACTACGTAGGTATAAGTGTTATACCTAGTCTACTTATAACGCCTATACTACCGCTCTCCTCGCACCCTCTTCGACGCACTCTTACTATTACTACGACTACTACCCGCCTATTTAGCTAATACTTCTTATACCTTACTTATAGTAAAAGTCTCTTCTATCTATACGTATCGCTACTTATAGCTCTTACGCTTATTTACTATATCTAGAGCCTCTTAAAGAGTAGCTACTTCTACTCTTATAATTGTTATTTTATATACTATTTACTAAGCCTCTTTACTTAGCTATATAATCTTTTTATTAAGAGAACTTATAGAAGACCTAGAGCGGTTTCTTACTCTCTCTTAAATAAGAGTACTTTAAGTCTTAACTTTATATGCGTTATATAGTGTCTACGCCTCCTAGGTAGCTATCTATTATAGTAATTATTTTAGCGTCTATACTACTATATTAAGCTTTAATAGTATAGCCTATAGGTTATATAGAACTAAGCTAGTAGCTCTAAACCTTACTTAAATATTCTCTTTCGTAATAGGCTACTTAAAAGTAGTCTTAAAGGCTAGTAGAAAGGTCTTCTTACTAATATAATTAGTATAGTTACGAACTTAGTCTAAAATAGCGTTACTATACTTACGCTTTAATAGTAAGAAGTAGATAATATTAAGAGACTATAATAGATAAGATAAGTACGTAAGTATATAGAGAAGGATAATATTCTTCTCCTTATAAAGATCTTAAAAATTAATAGAGTAGTAGCTCTTATAGCTATTAATGATAAGTAGTTAATATCTATCTATAGTATACCTCTTTATATAGGTATTAAAGTGCTCTAACTATGTAAGAGTAAGCTAGTTATTCGTCTAGCTATTAGAACTAACTTTAAGTACCTAGTTAGTAGGCAGGTTCTTAAACTAGATATTAATAAGTACCTTACCTATTACTTAACTTTTTTCTGTCTGTTTGCTATATAGCGTATTAGATCAATTATCTTAGAAAAGAATAGTAGGATACACCCTAACCTACTATAATTAGGTATTAAAAATATAACTTTATAGTTAAAGTATAATATATTAGTAATACTACTAAAAACCTCTTAATAGGTATATGCCTATTAGGTATAACAGCCAAAATACGGTCGCGATAAAGGTAGCAGAACAGCGAACTATAGTTACGACAAGGCAGCAGCACTATAAACTATAGTTATAATAAGGACACTAGTTACGTAGTGTAGTAAAGCTCTTCTATGTCTATAAGTTAGCTATGTCGTTCGTCTGTCTCTCCTATCTCATCACTACTACGTATTTAATTAAACTTAAACCTAAACTCTTATTACTACTATATTAGACTTTATATTATAGCTATTATTACTTATATTTTTCTATAAAAAGCTAAATCTCTAAAACTAATAGTAGATTAAGATTACTACTTCTTTAAAAGCTTTTCTAGCTTTTTTCTACTAGCTACCTAGTAGTATTAAAGAAGACCTTAGCTACTAGATTCTAGATAGGTTATATAAGCTATAAGTTCTTTAGCTAGTAGATAGTACTATATCTATAGATCTAACTAGGATTTATATTATAGATAGATATATATATATAGATAACGCTAATATATATTATATCTACTTAGCTACTATATATATTATACTTAATTATACATTAAGACTTTTATATAATACTCGCGTTTAGCTTAATATTAATATTAAGTGTATCTATAAGGCTATCGACGCTAGAGAACTAACTAATGTTACACGGGGTTAGGTGCTGATACTTCTCTAAGCTCGATCCGGGTTAGGGCGAGTGAGATGGTGTGAAGAGCGCCGTGAGGTAGTTATCTAGCGATGTAGTAGAGTGGGCGTGCTTATAAGATAGATAATAATAAATTTAATAATTCCTAATCTATTTTAAATAGTCTAATAAGTATTAATCTTATTAAATTAAATAATTAGTAAGAAAGTATAATTTAAGTTAACTATAATAAGAGTAAATAATATTATCTATCTATCCTTATATCCTTATTACTTCTAGTCCTACTATCCCGTCTATCCTATCTTCCTACCGCTTAGCGGGATGTTAAGGATAGTATACTATTCTAAAACCTATTACTATTCTATACTTTATAGAATAGTTAGTCTTAGTAGGATAGTATATTACGTGACCTTAAGCCCCGCGATAATTATTCTATTCGTTAAGATCTCTAGTAGTTTTCTAACTATTCGTCGTTATACCTAGGGAGAGAATCCTTTCTACTTATTACTTATAATATTACCTCCCCCTTTAGAGCTATTATCTTAATACTCTAGGTTATTATTTTTCTATACTATATATTAAAGCGTTAGCTATATATAAGGTTAGTAGGCCCTAGGCTATTATAACTATTCCTTTCTAACTCTAGCCTTTCTAACTATACCTAAGGTTCTATCTTTCTATACCTACGTTCGCGCTTAGAAGTTAAATAAAGATTATTATTCTTATACTAATTATATAATAGAGTAGAGAAATAAAATAACTTCTTATTATTATACTTATTATAAGAAGAAGAACTCTTATTATTTTATAGATATTATAACTAGATATTATACTAGTTATATTTTCTAAAAGCTAAGTATAGTTTTTTTATATCTAAGGAAGAGTAGAAGTAAGTTTAATAAGAGCGTAAGTAGAAAGAAATAAAAGTTACTTATTTATAAGCTTAGTAGGCCTAACTAGATACTTAGTTATCTTAGTAGGAGGTAGAGCTTCTTAAAGTAAAGTCTCGTAAGCGCTCCTTCGCTCGTCGCGATCTTACGCTTCTTAAGTTCTAGAACCGCGCGAAAGAGAAGGCTAAGAGAAGCTTAGCCTCTAGTATAGACCCTCCTATTATTATATTATTACTATCTAGACTATTAACTAATCTAGGCTAGCTATAGGCTAATTCTTTTAATCTCTTATCTTTTAATTACTTTCTTTCTCTTAAGAGTCTAGCTCTCTTCTCTCTAGATACTATTCATAATACGCTTATATTAATTCTTTATAGTTTATTAAATTTTCTTCTAGTTCCTAAGTATTCTAGCTATCTAGCTATCCTTATTACTTAACTAAGTATTTCTATTAATAACTAATTTTCTATAGATTCTTAACTACTTTAACTATATTTTTATTATTCTTAAGTTAAATATCTTTTACTAGTTTAGCGTCTTAGAGTACTAGTTTAAAAAGCTTTTTATAGAATATAGAGTATACTTTTATATCTAGTAGTAGCTATAGTTAATAATTTACTAGTTCTATTTTCGTTAAAATTTTAAATAGTTCTATTTATAGATTATCTAGTTTCTTATATTATTATTTAGTTTTTAGGTTCTATCTTAATAGGAAAACTTTATCTCTCTTCTTAAAGTTTAGTTCTTTAATCTTTAGCTTATTTACTACTTTAGATGTTATAAGGTTCTTTGAAGTAATTTACTTACTTAGTTCTTTATATAATTCTTATAAAAGGCGTGCTTTCTTATTTATACTATTAGTAATACTTTTAATATCTTTTAGATCTTAGTAAGCTACTAGCTTATATCTATAGTTCGCGTAATATAGTAACTACCTTATTATTATAGATTTTATACTATTATAAGCTAGTTACGCTAATAGTAAGTACTTAATCTAGTTAATCTATAAATTATTAACGTATATCTATAGATACTACTCTAATATCTAATTTATTTATTCTATCTAACTATCTATTTCTAGATAAAAGCTTATTAAAAGCTTCTTCTTTATACCTAACTTTACTAGTAATATTATCTAGTATAGAGCTATAAATAGCTTATCTCTATCTATAATAATTTCTTTAGGTATTCTATACTCTAATACTAATACTTTCTAGACTTTATATATATATTCTTTTACTATAATAGTCTCTTCTATAGATATAAATTTTACTATTTTAGTTAATTAATCTATAATAACTAAGACAGTATTATAAAATTAAGCTAATTCTAGTTTTAATAATCTTAAAAGCTTTACTATAAAGTCTATTATTATAATAGTCTATAGTCTAGATAGTAGCTATAAGAGTTATAATAG